GTTTTCTGCCTCACTGCTCCGAAAATTCAAGCCTCATGTGAGAAAAATATCACATTTTATTCAGGATTCCCACAAATAAATCCAACACAGAGCAAAAGTTTTACTGAGGAGTTTCAATGAAACATTTAATATTTAAATCGATTTTTAACATTTAAATTAATCATTTGGTAAAAATGAGCTAAATGTAAGAGCTAAATAACAAGTTTGTGAAACTTTAACTTTCATTTCAAACTTGTTTTCTGGAGGATTTCTAAAGGGAATGAAAATTTTAAATACTCAGTTTTTTTGTTGAATAAACCCGTTGAAACGGAGGCGCACCTGCAGGAGCAGGTAAATCAGTGCAGCTCATGGATGGACTGTGAGAATAAAGCCTGCAGCTCAGACTCACTAATCTGAGCCTCGGTGGGATTTTATCTCTGATCTGACGCCTCCAGGATCAATAAATGTTTCCTGCTTTACAAACCTTCTCTCAGTCCACCTTGATGAAGACAAACTGCTCCTCCTCCTCCTCCTCCTCCTCGTTAAGCAGAGGAGCTAAATGATGAAGACGGAGGAAAGAATCTCCGTCCCACAGAGTTTAAATCAAGACCGTCGTCAACGTCGTACCCCCAACCAGAGACTTTATTTCTTTATTCGAAAGGAAGTAAAAGCAGACAGTGAAGGTCTGTGAGGCCTGCAGAGCTGAAGGAGGGGAGGAGCAGTGGTGCCAGGTTAGTCTCCTGCCTCCTGTCCTTCACTCCTCAGTGGAGCATTGTGTGTTCTTAAACCAGATCCGGGTCTCCCTGCTCCTCCTGCCTCCTTCATATCAAATAAATGAAACTGTCTTCATTTTTGTAATATTTGACTTGTTTCTCAGTAAATATTGATTAAGGACCAGTTTTTTTGTCCTGGATCTGAGTTTGATGCTTCAAATCGTCCCGTTTTATTGGACAGAGCAGATTTTATTTGTTGGGGCAGAAAATCAGCAGCGGGGAAAGCGAATCTGTCACTTCCTGCTAACGAACCGATTGATTTGTTTGTTTTCTCTCGGCGTGCCTCAAACAGCTAAACACCGGCTGCTCGTTAACCGAGCTAATTAACTCTGCAGCTGTCAGGCTAGCTGCGGCTAACGAAAGTGACGGCGAGAAGGAGAAGGAGGCGACATCAAATCTCTCTTTTTGTTCGCTCAGGAGGCTGAGAGGCCTTTAATGATGAGGAGGAGGAGGAAGATTCATCCCCAGGGGACCCCCGGAGCCCACCACCATGATTCATGACACTTTTATCTGAACGCTCGGCTCTGAGGAGCTGAGGATCACAGGATGATAACTGTCAATCAAGGGCTGGGGGGCTGAGTTTTTAACACTTTTAACACAAATTCATAAAAAACTGTTCCAAAGGCAGAATTCAGGTCAGATTTATTTCAGCTAAAACAAGATACCAACAGAAAACACCAAAGAACAGGAACACACTCATTGGTGGGCCTGATGGACAGCCCCTCAGAGCTAAAAAAACAACATCTGTTGGAGAGGGTTTGAGTTTTAAGCATTTTTATATGTCCAGACCCCCCCCACCCCTTTTCAGATGGAGCCCCCTCCTCAAATATGGGGTCTATCATAAAACCGTTGGCTGGCACAGTGTAGGTCAGACTCATCTACAGTCCTGACAGATTTCATGTTGATTAGTGCAGCTGTTTGTAAAGTTACACAGTCAGAAATTACCACCAATATTTTTGTTTTATTTAGACTTTTATAAGAAAAAAAGAACAGATTTATTTTTCAAAGTCAGTTTTCACCATATGATTCATACATTTATAAATGTCATAGTT